GCAAATTTCTTAGAGAGGGTTGTAAAGCACCATGAAGTGGTATATACAATGTTTCCCCGAAAATGTGACCTGTCCAGAAACTAACGCCTTGCCACATTTTCTGCATGGGCAAAAATATAAGCCCACCCCCAAAAAATAAACCCCCTGGGTTTATTTAAACTCCCGAAGAGCTGGGCACAGCCTCGGGGGTGAAGCAGCCATGAGGTGACCATGCTCACAAGCAACTGCCCGGCAAATCCCCTCTCCAGCTGGGTAGAGTGCATTCACTGACCTAGGGGGTATCACTAAGGCACCAAGACATGTGGCGCTCTGCCCACTCCCCCAGCTCCTGCGGCTTGGCACATTCGGGATACCCCTCTAGGTCAGTGCAGGGAGCTCTGCCTGGCTGGAGAGGAGGGTTGCATGAGCGCCTGTTCCACCCCCAGCCTCACCAAGCCCTTGCGCAGCTCTCCCAGGGCACTGCCGCCGCCTGCCACCATCCACCGCTGCCACCACACTCCGAGCATAACTTCCAAACTCCAAAACTCCACTGCCAAGTCTTCCAGTATCGTCCGCTCTAGGAGCGCTCTCTATGGTGGGCCGGCTGCTGGAAGACTCTCTGTCCGGAAGACTCTCTGTCCAGGAGACTCTCTGTCCGGGAGCAGGCCCACCATGGAGAGCACTCCTAGAGCAGCCGATGCTGGAAGACTTGGCAGCCGAGTTTTGGAGTTTGGAAGTTATGCTCGGAGCATGGTGGCAGCGGGTGGCAGCAGGTGGCAGCGGCGGTGCCCTGGGAGAGCTGTTCAAGGGCTTGGTGAGGCTGGGGGCAGAACAGGCACTCGCGCAACCCCCCCCCCTCTCCAGCCAGGCAGAGCTCCATGCAATGACCTAGGGGGTATCCTGAATGTGCCAAGCCATGGGAACTGGGGGTGCACAGAGTACCATGTGGCTTGATGCCTTGGTGATACCCCCTAGGTCAGTGAATGGCGCTCTGCCCGGCTGGAGAGGGGATTTGCCAGACGGCTGCTCATGAGCGTGGTTACCTCATGGCTGCTTCATCCCTGAGGCTGTGCCCGGCTCTTCAGGAATCTGCTTGCAAGGGAGCAGCAACCCAGCAACTCCAAAGCAATAAGCCCTCCCTGATAATAAGCCCAAGGCCCTATTTCGTGGGGCAAAAGAAAATAAGACCCTGTCTTATTTTCGGGGAAACATGGTAAGTCTAAGTGCTAGTGCTATTGCTTCCTTATTATAATGAGAATGCCAGTACTCATGGTTTATTCTTCTTGTCTGCACTACCTCAAAGGGCTTACTGGATTGTACTGCTA